TCCTTACACTTTGTAGGTGCAAAGTGCGTACCAAAGGACGGGATGACTTTGGTCAGTTCATCCAAGAATACTTACGCCTCTTCGAACATGAGAACGATGTCGTCTGCATATTCCAGAGTTTACTGTTAGATGTAGGTATCATGGTTGTACGTGAGCTGGGCTACCGCCAGGGCGCCCACACCTAGAAAGGAGGACGATTAGGGTCCTCAACCAAAGCCTTTGATTCAAAAGCGTGACCACAAAGTAGCGGTATTTGGCGGGAAATGCAAATGCATTACCATTTCTAAGGAACAAGTTGCCACATGTTCTAACCCCCAACCTGGAGGGCCAGGAGATTGTTCGTCAGACCTCTAACCATCGACCAACCTGGTATGAGAGACTCTGTGAGTGTCACGGAACACCCTGCAGTGTAGCTCAATGGATCGCTGAGGTGCGCAAACCGTCACACCACAGTGAGGTCCAGTCTTTTCGTGACGGTTATTGCAGCAGAAAGCTCGAGTGACGCAGCCCGATGAAAAAATATAAATACTTGATAAAATAAGATTCTAATGTGGAGTACTGATTGGTTGCAGAGTTACACCAGACTTTGTATCAACAGGCCATTCTCTATTCGCATGAATGAAGCTACTCACCGGGTTGCTGAAAACTCTTCGGCAGCTAGATACATCGCTTCGACATATTTCAGTGCATTGTCTAGACGTAATATACTACTCATAAGGTTGCTGAAGCCTCTTCCACAGCCCCCGTTCAGTTTCGACCTCCCACTTCGGGTTCATCAAGTTTTCCTTGACCTTGTGTTCTGCTCAAACCCAAATTGCACGAAGTTTGCGAATTACACTCGTTTGCACACTGATCTGGTTGTCAAGGTTGATCCACCTGAATCTTTCGTTTATGCCATTCTTCAAGTAAGGCCGCCTCGTGATTCACGATATTGCAGTACGGTTCCACGAAGCGCTTCAGCTGATTGCAGCCATTAATATGAAACAGCTATGCAGTTTTTCTCAGCTTCACTTACAGGACGGAACCTCCAGTAAACGTAAATTCTTCCTCAAAATAAAGTAAAAAAACCACTGACGAACTCTTGGGTTCGTCCACGTTCGAATCCGTTCGTCGTTGGTTGGTAATCCCATCAGTTATCTTGATGTCCACACAAACTTTTAGCTGTGAGAAAAAAAACTAAACTAAGGTACGGCACAAGTTCGACCCCCTCCGATTGGAATTCGGGTGGAATTCGCCTCTAGTATATTAGAGACCCATATGGTCTGCATCCACTCTCACAATATGACCGATGAGTGTCCAATATAACAGTTTTTCACAGTGGATTACCAGATGACGATTACATCAAAATCTATTAGTAAGTTGTTCGAATATCCGAATTAGATTTGGAGGCTTCAACCGATTTTTCCGTATTTTTGTGTGTTTCGCACGGAATCATTACAGCTCCGGGGGGGAGGCGTGCTGCGAAACCACCGCCCCGTTAGGAATGTACACACCCTTGTTAGCAGGGGTAACTTTTGATCATCACTACGCGCGAAATTCAATTAACCAGAACGACCATCTGTCTGACTTGAAGTTGTCTCGATTAACTGTGTTGCTGTCTTTCTGTGTGTGTGTAAAGACCTCTGAGGTTCTGAGGCGACGCACATTTCGCGAGTGCTTGAAATGTCTACCGTCCTTTGAGCGTGTGTATCAGTGGGTTCGATGCGAAAACCAAATTAAGTTATGAGGTGTTTTGTGTGAGAATTCCGATGAGTGGTGAGCTAATTAGCTACCTTTCGTCCATTCATCGAAATGATATCGTTAGCCGCACACACCGAATAGATAACCGCAAGGTTTTTTTTCTTGCGTTGCCTCGTTGATTGGCGCAAACTGTGTACTGGGTGGCCGGGTTGTTCGATGACCAACGTTCGAGTGTTGCGATTACATTGGAAGAGAGAATTCGGGAGGAAAAGCCTAAAACCCTATGGGTTTTTTTGTAATCAGTGGTCATCGAAGTTATTGGTCGAAGAAACTCGTTTATTCGTGTACGGACGATCTCACATAATCACTGCAGGCTTACTGGCGTCGGAGTTTAGCTGTGGACGTCCACAGGGCTAAACATCATTTGCTAATTCCCTTGAAAGTTCTCCGAAGTTGCTAACTGAATAGTGACCAGTAACCGGAAATCGGGGGCGAGATGGCCCGATTCACTGACCGGAAGGTCCATGGTTCGAACCCGACCTCTGCCTCTCGACTTTCCCTGTCTAGGCTTGGGCAACTTGGCAATATCCCAGCCCTCGTGCAACTTTCGGGTGGCATGGCAGCTAGGCACCGGAAGAGTGCTACAACTGAACCGGGAACTTCGGGCTTGCACATGTTTCCGTCACGTTTCCCACCCACTAATATTCCCAATTTAGATACATTCAATTTTGGCGTCCACTCTCGTTTGAACAGTCGTCTTCTTGTCTTGATGCAGTTATTCTGATGACTCCACACCAAAGAAGGGAAGCACTGAGTTCGAGTTTCGCTCTGATTAGAGCTTATCAGCAGTGCATACCCAATGGCCGTTCCGGTGT